TTCTGGATATTTTCCTCTTTTTTATTTGAGTGACGCGTGTTATACTTAACCCTCAAAGCAATTGGTAAATTAGATTTGTGGAACCGCGCATAATCTACATGTTCCATTTGGAAATGTTTTTTTGATATTGACCACATCCCATAAGCATATCGACCAAAGGGTATGATACCTCTCTATTATGAATGACAAGAACTGGAGAAACTATTTTACTGATAACGTGGCATTCCATCTAGTGGTAATGATTGCCAATATGTTTATTTAAATTTCGATTCTAAATTGAGATAACATGTAGGTATCTATTTTGCCAAGGCATCTACTCACTATGAGATGGATTGTGAACTGGATGTAATGACGAAAGTACAATTACAACACTTCGATGTCAGAAAAACAATTTGTATTTGAGGATAAATATTGACAAGCAATAATTGCTAAAAATACAGAGCGCCAGACCCACATTGCAGTAGATATGCACTCCATGTACCTAATGAGCCATGATGCAGCTATATTGTGGCTATAACATAATAATAGGACCGGGACCTACCGGGAAACCGGGAAATTAGTTAGCTGAAGTCGAAATGGGCCGGCCATATAGCTCGAAGAACCGTCAACCGATGGGAAAAACAGGTTCTCGAATGGCGGCCTCGTACCGGCGGACGAAGTGTAGGGCGTCTCCCCACTAGATGGATAGCCTGGTAATGCAGGTGGCTCAGGACCATGCTTTTTGGCAATCCTTGGGGGAAGCCTATGTTTAGCAGTGGACTTGTGATGGGTTGTAGATAATGATGATGACGATGAATAAAGGCCGTCCCCTTAGATTGCCTTATACGGGGGATATATGTCATATTTGCCACGCTTGGCAAGCGGGTTGGCAACCACAGTTTTTATTTTCAGTCGTTATTAGGAAGACGCTGCTTTTCATCTCATGATTTGTTTGCCTCTGTCGCCTCTTTCATCACCCACGGGTGATATAATAATAATAATAAATAATAATAATAATAATAAGTGTTTATTTCAGACGTAAGAACATCCATAGATTGTTAGTATGTTAGTAACAATTTTTCCTTAACTTGTAAGTTAGTATTGTTAGTTAATGTGAATTATGTACAAATTATTTTCTTCGCCCAATAGCTACCGTCATACAGTGGTGCAGTATGGGGCAGTCGGGCCTGGCAGCAATTACCCTTAGGATGCCGTTTTTGCTGGTACGTAAGCGCTGCAGGAGAGACGCTGCTTTTCTACGCATTATGGCGAAGAAGTCATTAGTGTGTGCGTCTGCGAACATTTTAGAGGCACTACAGCGCCACGGCAGCCTCAACAGCATTCTAAAAGCGTTGTTATATTGAACACGCAGGGCGCTGTAGGTCCGGCGTGTATAAGTCACCCACAGACCACCGGTATAGAAAGACTGACAGAACGCTTTAAATAAAGTTACTTTCACGTCTGCAGTGCATACGGGGGTAGTGCATATTTTTACACCGTCACTACTTGGTTACAAGTCCGCGGCTAAACAACCTCCTGCACCAAAGAATTTCACAAAGGATGTGTGTGACACCTGCATGATGACGTCATATTACACTTCTCTAACTGGTAGGAGCCACACGAAAACCTTTCTTCCCCATCTTTTGTCAACTCTTCGTAATATATGGCAGTCCATTGCTATGTCAGCTTAATGATCTGCCGACAAAGGGCAACAAAAACTTTCGTGCATTTCTCTAAGTCATCTTACAAATACCACAGCATCGCAATAATTATGGCATACATTTTTCCACTATATCTACACTACTATAGTTTACCAGTTCCTTCCATCCACGCCATTTTGGCTCCGGTTCTCCCATAACTGCACTGAACACTAGTATAAGATTTTTTTTTAAAAACCTTACCTCCACTCTAGGATTTTCTTCTGTATCGTGGAGGCAGTTTACAAACATAGATTGCATGAGGACAAACATACAGACCCGGAACAATTACTTGTAGGTCATACAAATACTTGTTCCGTGCGGGATTGGAACCCGCGGCCCCCAGCGCAACAACTCATTGCTAAGCCACTGCGCCACGAAGCCGTCAAATTAAAAATTAATAATACAAAAACAAAGATCCTCATTGTAGGTTAATTACAAGCTTGTTATACAAAACTATACTACTTAATTAATGTTCCGTAATAACACCTAATTAACTTGTTAAAGAGGCGACTACTATCTTTTTAAATTCCATCCTTACGTTAAAATTCTAAAAAATATAATTTATTAGGCATAAGTATATTTCTATATATGAAAATGTTAAATGTTCGATCATAAAATTGATAGTGGAAAAATGTACATAATATATATGTGGGAAATAAAAAAATTATAATTTTTTATACTTTAACTTCAAGATACCTGATAGTGTTAAATATTTTTTTTATAGGATGTAAGATGGCTGTGGCCCATAGACATATACATTTATCCTCGATTACGAATCAAAATGCAGATGAGCGTGAGGATTAAGATGGAATGCCTCGTTTCCAGTAAAAAGAGTCTCCGGTTCTCTACACTCACCATACGAAACACATCAACATTAAGCCGCTATTTTACGCTGGTATTCTGTGACAATATATATGATATGAATATAACGATTTCATTCGACTTAAAAGTTATAATTTACTAATTCGACAATGTTATTTATTTATTTTTAATATTAATCATCGTCATCATCATTACATACTGTTAACTATGTAACAAAGGCCTCCCCATAGATATTTCTAACAAGGTTTTTTTATAGGCTATAGACTAGGCTAGGTGGCTCAGGACCGTGCTTTGTGGCATTCCTAGGGGGAGACCTATGTTCAGCAGTAGACTTATGAAATGCGGTAATGGTGATTATAATGATGATGATCAGGAATACGCTGATCTCTTTGATTTTTCCATGTGTTATTTCTTAAAACACGTACGAGATGATAGGAGGTAGTGAATGTTTTTAAACAGTCACTACATGGTATTCTTTTATATTAATAATACATTATTTTTCGTGGCTCAGGACCGTACATAAAACACAAAGGAAAAGTCTTATAATGATGAATGATGAATAATGTGATAACATGATAATAATTTGCTTTCTTAATATGGACCTTTTTAATAGGGAAGAGGGAGGATTGGCATCTATACAAATAAATAAAATTGAAGTGTCTGATTCTAATGTTACAATAACAGCCTTTTATATAATATAAAATGTACTTATAACCAAAACACAATTTTTAAATTTTTTTGTCTGTGCATCTGTTTGTTCTGGCTAATCTCCGAAACGACTGGACCGATTTTGACAGGACTTTCACTGGGAGATAGATAGCTGATGTTATAAGGAGTACTCGTAACTTTTATTTTAGAAAATCAATAAGGGTTCCGCGCAAATTAATTAAATCCCATGAAAACCAATCGTAATAAGTTCCGCGCTGGCGTAGTCATGGGGAACAGCTTTTTTTAATAATTTAGGTTATCTGAACAGCATTATATTGTCTTTTTACTCGTAATATGGTGTCTAACTTAATTCTCAGAGGTATATATTAGTATATATTATTATTAGTCAAAAGGCAAGGCGTAGCGAAGAGTGCACGCCTTGCAATACATAACGCAGTGTTGGTACCGACTTTGTTATATGGCAGCGAAACCTGGGTATGCCAGAAGAAGCATAAAAGTAAGTTGAATGCAGTAGAGATGCGATATCTTCGTAAAATGTGCGGCGTTACCATGGCCGACCGAAAGCGAAACGAAGAGATTCGCAATATGGCAGGTTTGAAAGATGACCTTATCACAAAAATGCTTCGGTGGTTTGGGCAAGTTGAGCGAATGAGTGAAGATCTAATGGTGAAGAAAATATATAGCGCGAAAGTTAATATTAAAAGGTGTCGAGGTAGACCGAGACTAACTTTCGAAGACCATGTGAGCAAATTGCTCGAAGAGGGTAGGGTCAAGAGTACTCGGATACCTAGACGTGCATGCATGAAGAAGATAATGAATCTGAAAGAAGCGAAAGAGGTTTGTAAGGATCGTGACACTTGGCGATCTGTTCTCTCTGGCTACCCCGTCAGGGATTGTGCTTAAAGATAAGTAAGTAAGTAAGTAAGTATATATTGCGAGTAGTAGAAGACCTGAGTTGCGAGGCTTGGCTTTTTTTACAAGTTATGTTTTTGATGGCATTGTTTATTTTTTTACGTGGTAGAGCCATGCTGCAGCTATATTATGGCTTTGGCACGAAAGGGTCGGATCGACCGGGGAAGGACCACGCTCTCACTGAATACCAGCGTAAAATAGCAGCTCAATGCTGCTGTGCTTCGTATGGTGAGTGTAGAGAACCGGAGACTCTCTATACTGGAAACGAGGCATTCCATCTTAGTCCTCACGGGTGACAACGCATCTGCATTTTGATTCGTAATCGAAGATAGATGTAGATGTTTATGGGCCACAGCAACCACTTACCATCAGGTAGACTGTGTGCTCGTTTGTCACCCTTATCCTATAAAAAAATATCAGTATATATAAACGAACCAGTATTCGGTATGAAAATATTTCTTTTATTAATTTTTTGGCAATAAAAAACAAGAGCTACAATCTATTCTACTAATTCATATATTTATAAAACAATAAATATAATATTTATTAATTGAACTTAAATTACCACAGAGTCCTACTCTCCAGGACAGTTAAAGTACGCCACAAACATCTACTCCCCGCGGTAAAGTGCCGAGAACGCTGGCTGTGTCTCCTCACTGAACAGCCCTTTTATAACCAGTGGCAACGAAATGTCGTAAATAATGTAGCTTCTGTAGGAACTTCAACGCACGTGGACCCCAACGGCCGATTGTTTCTACACCAAATGACACAAGTATTTAGCCATCTTTTAAAGGTTCGTACTTAAGCCACTAAATCTGTTCAGCCGCCTCCGATGTATAATGTATTAAATATTTATACTTAAAGTCAATTAATAGAGAATATCTATGTTATAAGTACTTAAAAGGATCATATGGAGTATCATTTTCCTGTCTTAATAATTGACGCTGTTTGACCGACGACACTGACGGCGGGACCTGCTTTAATGATTCCATCGCGAATGTTTTGTCCGAGTCGTTCCTGAAACAAAAAAAAATGATCATATACAGAAGGATAGAAGTATTAATATGTATGGCGTGGTCTGATCAGCCGATTCATTGGACAGATAGGCCAGTATAATTAAACGTGGGCGTTCAATTGAGTGCCATAAATAAGTTCGAGAAAATCGCGTAACATTTTATTAAAATGGTTTGTTAGGATGTTAGGTAAGTGATCTGATGAAACGAAATTAATAGTGTTTGAAAGACTTGTCATCGACTTGGTAGTAAAACTTTTTTGTGGAATTGGCTACCACCAGTGGTTTATCTGACCTTCTAGTACATAGCAGTAGTCTAGTGTTAAAAATATTTATGGGCGGGGGTAATCACTTCTATGAAATTATAATTAATAGTGGAGAGTTACAACAAATTTTGTGACATAAATACCCTTATAAAATAAACATTTTAAGCCAGATTTTATGGTTTGACAAGTTCGAAATCTTAAGTCCACTGCTGAATACAAGCCTCCCCATAGATTGTCTCATATTGGGGATATTTGCCATAGTTGCCACGTATAGCACCATTACACTGTAAAATTAACTAATAAAAATTTCAATGACTTACCAGTTTCTTAAATGGATTCCATCTTGGGCTTGGTGCGCTAAAAGCGATATTAAACGCCATAACAAAAATGAATGCAAAACTAAATATCCTGGTAAAATTCATTTTAGTTTATTTTTAAGTAAAATGTTAGAGCTTATAAGATAAGAGTCACGGATTCAATGGTTGTCCTCCAGCTGAACACGCTTTTATATAGTTAGAAACCGGGAAACCAGGAAAACGAAAATGCGTAAAATGTTCTTAAGTAAATTCGACTTTATTGCCACTAACTTAGTGTTATTTATTGTACAAACTTGTTTGCAACCGCATCAACATCAGTACTACAAACTGGCTTGAAAGCAAAAAGAAAGTGGGACTGAGGGAACTCCCGTTGCTAATGTTGTTAGTGAATCCCCGATGGTCGATTAGTATCATTAGTAGTATTTTGTTTTCTATGAAACTATAAAAAAAATTGAAAACACATTTACATCAATGTAATAAGGGTAGATAAAACTACGTTATTGTAATGTAAAAGATATAAAAGTTTAAACTACTTCATTATTTCTATAGCTTATACATATTACATACTGTTTTTAGACATTGACATATCTCTGTTTTATATTGTATTTTTTTGTAATAATTCACATATTAAAATATTAAAAATATGAGAAAATTAAAACAAATTCTAGGCATAGGTTATTTGCAAATGGGATGTAGATCATATATACAAATATCCATACCGCGTTTTAGATTAAGTTTATTTTGATCTCGCTTGGCAATTGGATTTACGATCGCAGTGCCACACGACTTGCTTGATTTGATTGACTACTTGATTGATTGACTCTACTGCTCGTATCCGGTTTTCTTATCAATATTTACATACATAGCATGTTAAATCAGTGGTGTCCATGAACTCGATCAATGATTATGTTCAGGGACACATGGCTCAATTTAAAATAGAAAGTTCCTATCTAACCTCCTAGACTCCTAGTACTGGTATTTCATATTTCATTTCATGAACATAAATAGGTGGAACGGATTTCGAGCTTTAAATTATATCAGCCACTAAATACTAAAAATATCGTAAAATTGCCATTATTTATTTTTAAAAATGAGTTTTACAAGGCTTCATAATTATTAACGCCTAACAATTTGTAAACTGTAATTAAAATGATCTGCAACGAATGTTTTCTTAAAACATAAGCGGCCTTACTTTTAACTTTTTTTATAAGAGAGTTGAACAACTGCAACACCAGGGGAATTGCAAATGCGTTGCCAGCCTTTCAAAAGGAGTACACTTTTTTCTTGAAGGTCCCTAAGTCGTAATGATTTCTTATATTTACGCGAAGACTACACATTAAATGAAACTAATTTTTACGGATTTTATCGCGTTTTATTTAACTTTTTAATTCCCGACGTGTCAGGTGCCTTACAGCACCTATGTTCACGGAGGGGACTGAGGTGTTTGATGTGCCGATGTCATAGTTAGCCCGGCTACCTTCAGTTTTTGAATGTTAATTTTTGGTCCGATCTACGCAGAATGAGCTTATAGTATCTTGAAGTATTGCAGTGATATGCTTGGATTTGGATTTAGTTTTATTAATTATAGGATCCCAAGCAGATGGCAGCACCCATCCATCTTCTCTATTGAAATCAGGATGTTTTTTAATTTCAACAGCCTCGCGAGTCATCCTTGGTAGGAATCGGTGTTCTTTTGCGAGGATTTGTGGTATATCAAATCTAATGTAATGGTGGGGATGATCTTGAACATGTTCACACACTGCAGACGTCCCGGAACGTCGGTGCTTCAATTCAGCTATATGTTCTTTCACGCGGGTTTTTACACATCTTTTTGTTTGTTATATGTAAAAGAGACTACATTCACAATCCTGCTTGTATACTCCTGCATCTTGTAGAGGGATAAGACACCGATTTACCACCGTACGAACAATGACATAAATATTGTAAAAATAATTGATTTTCAATAATAAATTCAAAAAGTACGCGTTTCCGCATGTTAAATCTTTGCGTGTGTGCTTATAATAATGTAACCTTTCTGTAAAAAAAATATCAACACTCAACTCGACGGACGTCAATGGAAAGTCGTACCCTTTTATCACACTAACAAAATGGTTCGAATCCTTTGTGTGTGCTCTGGTGTGTCATCTCAGTGGTAACAATATTTTTGCCAAGTGTTCAGCCAACTTATAAGTTGGTGAATCGATCTGGCTTACTATGGGACGTAGTGGAACGTATGGTTTGTGTGTTTTCGGTAACTCATACAACCTCGATGGTTTCGCACATGATGGTATTGTCGAATTCACGTCGAGATTTAATTTTTTGGAGTATTTCTTTATTAAGTCGGTAGTTGTTTTAAGTGTTTTAGTTGTAGGGTCTATTTGGACCTTTTGTATGTATTTACGTCCAATAAAAGTTGTTGTATTTTGAAATTATACTCTGACGTGTCCATTATTACCGTAGCATTTCCTTTATCTGCGCGGAAAATCGTTAGCTCTGATCTGCTGCGTAAGTAATACAACGCTTTAACCTCGTCTTTGGGGAGATTTAGTTTCGGCGCTGAACTTCGACGTAACAAGGACGAAATGTCTTGACTTATTGCCTCTAAATCTTTCTTACCAATATTATTCTTAAACAGACAATCCTCAACACTACAAATCATTTCCTCGTACGGGATTTTTTGCGGTGTTATTGCAAAATTCAAGCCTTTTGACAATACTTTTATTGTAGGTTTGTTTTGATAGATTATGGACCATGCGTGGTTTATTGTAGCGTCTGTAGTCAATGGTTGCGTTTCCTTTCCGCGTTGATATTGATGTTTGGCATTTTATTTGATTGTAATTTTTTGGTATTTTTCTATTTGTTTATTTTTGCATTTATTATATTTCGATGTTTCGCGTTTGTTTAAAGTTTCAATGCAATTATTAAAATCAAATTTCGTTAAAACTGTCTTTAACTCACTAGAAAAATTGTCTATGGTCTTATTTATGAATTATAGATTGAACCGTTTTTGCTGAATCACCGTTCGTAACAAGATTTAAGATCTTAGCGCTTCCTCGAATTTCCTTTTTGTTGATTTAATTTTTTTGACATTTGACACACCTAAGAACGAGATTGTGGTCTCATCTCTTCAAGAAATTTCAAGATGTTATATATCTTGCGCGCTTGGTCTTGAGATCTTCTAATCGACGAATTTTATTGGCTATTACCAGTCCGTACTGGTTCACATAATGTACTACCCTATGTCAGATGAGCCACAGACAAAGTTGGCTACATCTTGAAGCGAGCTTCCATTAAATCATACTTCAAGCCGCCGAAGAAGATTAGTCAATTTTCACCATCCGTCAAGTGTCATATCCCTCTACAAGATGCAGGAGTGTACAAACTGGATTGTGAATGTGGTCTCTCTTACATAGGACAAACAAAAAGATCTATAAAAACCTGCGTGAATGAACATATAGCTGATTTGAAGCACCGATGTTCCGGGAAGTCTGCAGTGTGTGAACATGTTCAAGATCTTCCCCACCATTACATTAGATTTGATAGACCACAAATCCTCGCAAAAGAACACCGGTTCCTACCAAGGACGATTCACAAGACTATTGAAATTTAAAAAAAAATCCTGATTTCAATAGAGAAGATGGATGTTGAATATAGAATTAAAAGGAAAGGGCGTTACATTGCGGGTTGGAATACGCTTGTGAAGGATGCTCACGTGATAGCGAAACGGGCATTCCTCAACTGGATGTGGCATAGTCGGCCAAGAGTTGGACGTATATACCAGAATATCTGTATATCACGAAAAGTGTTCAAGTCTAATTTAAAGGCATGTCAAGAAAATCAAGATAAAAATGGACATTAAAGTTTCACCATACAATTCCAAAAAAAAATCAAAATTTTGAAAACTCACGAAAAGACTGAGTTCTAAGTCCGCTGCCTCCGTGAGTATGAGCGGGAGTAGGGAACTTTCTTATAAAACACTTTAAAGTTGAATCGATATTGCAGCGAATAGCAGAAGTGAGAGCGAACGATGGTGGAATGATTGTGACTGGTGAGCCTGTCCGTATTACATCTAAGGATCTTAGGTTGGTCCTGAAGAATATGATTAGAGGAAAATCACCAGAGCACGGTGGCCTCAGCGTCGAGCACCTTCAAAATGCAGGTCTGCATCTCCCAAGGGTGTATTAGGCACTCCTATTTACTTGCCAAACTTATGAGAACCATTGTTGTTCCTATAGTGAAAAACAAGACTGGTAATATATCTGACGATGCTAATTACAGACCTATATCCTTGGCAATTGTATTGGCAAAGGTACTTGATAGTTTACTGGAGCGACGACTATCGACGATACATCTAAACGATGCTCAATTTGGTTAGGCCTGTCGACAGAGAGCGCTATAATGTCGCTGAAGCATTCTGTCAAATATTACACCCAGGGACAAACGCTAGAGTATGCTACATTTCTGGATCTCTCTAAGGCATTTGACCTGGTTAATTATGACATACTATGGACAAAACAGCCATCCGAAACTATCATCACTTGCAAATATTGGTACAGTCATTAAGTTAACCAGGTCAGATGGTCTGGCGTGTTATCCGACGAATATGCGTTGGAATGCGGGGTGAGGTAGGGGGAATTGTCTTTGCCTGTACTGTTTAGTCTCTACGTAAACGGGATCATTGGTGCACTCAGTGAAACAAGGGAAGGATGTTCTGTGGCCGGTCATGTGATCAATAATATAAGTTATGACGATGACATAGTGTTGCTGAGTCCACCGGTGAGTGCGTTGCGCAGACTGTTACCTGTGTATGAAACATACGCTGCTGAACATGGACTTCTCTATATACTCAAGAAAATTGAGCAGTCTATCTCTTCTTCCAGCTCCATGATCTTCTCATCAGTCCTCAGGGTGCGCACGTTATATGTTGTCAGTTCGAGTCGTCTTAGGTGGCAACTGAACCTCCACCGGAGATTCTTAGCAACCCTCTGCCCCGCCGTTGCCATGGTCGCCACCGTAACCACGAATAGCGGGGCCGTCGGGAACTGAGGGCCGTCATTTCGTAACTTTCATTTCTTGAGTTGGCCACCGCAGTTTTTTTATTGTCG